AGGCATTACCTATATGGCGCACAATTCCAAGTGTTCAGCGATCATAAGAGTTTGAAATATCTTTTTGATCAAAAGGAATTAAACATGAGACAGAGAAGGTGGATGGAGTTTTTGAAGGATTATGAGTTTGAACTTCTATATCATCCAGGTAAGGCTAATGTAGTGGCAGATGCTCTGAGCAGAAAGACAGTGCATGTATCTACTATGATGGTAAGGGAGTTAGAATTGATCGAGAAATTCAGAGATATGAAGTTGTATGTTGAGCTGAAGGCGGATTTCATCAGGTGCAGCAACTTAATAATATCAAGTGATTTGTTGGGTTTAGTCAGAGATAAACAATTATTAGATGCCGAGCTGCAGAAAACAGTGGGTTTATTGGGTACAGATCAAGCCAGAGAATTCATGTTAGGAACTGATGGCATTTTGAGGTTTAGAGACAGAGTCTGTGTCCCAGATAATGTTGAGATAAAAAGGTTGATTCTCGAGGAAGGACATCAAAGTCGTCTTAGCATGCATCCTGGTATGACTAAGATGTATCAAGATCTCAAGAAGTCTTTCTGGTGGTCTGGAATGAAGAGAGATGTGGCACAATTTGTGTCAGCATGTTTGACATGTCAAAAGGCTAAAGTAGAACATCAACGACCTGGAGGTATGTTACAACCACTAGAGATACCTGAGTGGAAATGGGACAGTATCGCTATGGATTTTGTAACCCACTTACCACGGACAGGAAAAGGTCATGATGCTATCTGGGTTGTGGTAGATAGGTTGACAAAGAGCGCTCACTTCTTGGCGATGAATCTAAAGATGCCAATGTTGAAGCTCGCCCAACTGTATATAAGAGAAGTAGTAAGACTACATGGAATACCGTCGAGCATAGTGTCAGATAGAGATCCGCGATTTACATCAAAATTCTGGCAGTCTCTACAACGTGAATTGGGTAGCAAATTACAAATGAGCTCTGCGTATCATCCACAAACTGATGGACAGTCTGAGAGGACGATTCAATCCTTAGAAGATCTGTTGAGGACTTGTGTTTTAGATCACTTGGGTATTTGGGATGAGGTCTTACCATTAATTGAATTCACTTACAACAACAGCTATCATACAAGCATTGGCATGGCACCATATGAAGCACTATATGGTAGGAGATGTAAGACACCCCTATGTTGGTACCAAGAAGGAGAAATAGTGATGTTAGGACCAGAATTAATTCAACAAACCACAGAAAAGGTGAAACTGATACAGGAAAGGATGAAGGCATCACAAAGCAGACAAAAGTCTTATGCAGATCATAGACGAAGGCCTCTTGAGTTTGAAGTGGGAAGTCACGTGTTTCTACGAGTTTCTCAGATGACTGGAGTTGGGAGAGCTATCAGATCCAAGAAGTTGTCTCCAAAGTTTCTTGGTCCATTCCAAGTTATCAAGAGAATTGGACCAGTAGCATATGAGATTGCACTACCTCCTCAATTGGCAAACTTGCACAATGTATTTCACGTATCTCAATTAAGGAAATATGTGTCAAGTCCTGATCATGTACTCGAAGTGGATGACGTTCAAGTCAGAGAAGATTTGTCATTAGACGCAAAACCAGTACGGATTCTTGATGTTCAGGCGAAGCAACTAAGAGGAAAGGATATTCGTACAGTCAAAGTATTGTGGAACGAGAAGACCCAAGAAATGACTTGGGAATTGGAAGAAGAAATGAAGAACTTCTATTCTCATTTATTTGATTAAAGAGTGTATTTTTCGAGGACGAAAAATTTTAAAGGTGGGGAGAATGTAAGACCCTGAAAAATTAAAGGAAAATGTGAATCTCGGGTCATTAGTAGAGTAAGAAACCAAAAATGTATCAAGTTGTAACAAAAGTTAAAGTTTATATGCAAAATACAATGCTGTCAACTTTGACATGGTTTGGTATTTTAATTATAATTAATTGTACAAATTAGATATTAAGTTGATTCTTTTTCCATTAGAAAGTAGACTTGAATAGCTTCGATTCGAGTACTTATACGCATAATTCCGACATCGGGAAGGGGTTCAACCGGACTGACAAAGTTGTCAAAATCAGACTCACTCGCTGTACGCGTTTTGGACGCGTTTTGATACAGTAAACGCGTTTTACTATTTAAACACGTTTTTCTGGTTATTTAAGGGGGTTTTGGGGCTGAGAGAATTCCTAAGTTGAATCTGAGAACTGTTACCTAAAAGCATTGGACCAGAGAAGTTTTAGAGCTCAGTTTGGAGCCGCGAGAAGGAATTCTAAGGCAGAGGAACGTTGGGGAACTGTTTGACAGCAAGCTTAGGAGAAAACCGTAAGGGGAGCTAACCTTGAGTCTTTTTGTTTCTGTATGATTTTAAATTTGGTATATGTTTAGGATTTTGACTCTCTTTATGATTTTAGAATGAAATTCTGTTTCTGTTGTGTCTTTTGAATTGATCTACGGTTTGGAATCGGGAAGTGTTTCTGTTTTTGATAATTTTGAAGAGATCTTGTTCGCATTAAGTATTTTGAATCGGTGGAATTTTTTTTTTTATACGTATAGATCGAAGAATTTGAATTTGTTTATGGATTTAAAAAGGAGACTAGGCTTTTGATATGAAATTTTGGACTGGACTATTTATCCGCTATCTCTTTGTTAAATGTTTAGTTTAGATGTTTATAAGATTTGGATGAATATGGGTTGTTGATAGGAGATGAGTTTTTGGACGTCTATAAAGCCGGTATGATGGAAGGAACAGTCGGTATAGCCCGGAAAGTGAATTTTCGTGATTTTGGAATAGTAAATTCGCTAGAGTGAATGAGACAACTCGCTGGAGCGAGTTATGCATGACAAATTTAGTGTTTTTAATGTTTTTGACGTTTTGGGAGTTCTGGATGTCCGTTTTGGACGTTCTTTAGGTCGATATGGGGGTTTTTGACCCTTCCGGAGTCATCGGTGAGGGTATCTAATCTATTTGAACTACTTAAAGGTTCGAATTAATAGACCATAAAGAGTTATGTGTTAATAAGTAATGTTTTCTGTGAGGATGTGAAATGTCTGAGTATGTGAGAGTTATTTTCTTGAGATATGACTAAAGATGATAACATGTTGACATGTGTACTTATGAATGGAAAGTGTGAGGAACTCCTGGTTGATTTTGTGTCAAGTACTGTACGTATGAATATAGGAACTCAGATTTAGTGGTTCATTCTTATGCTCTCAATAGTCTCGATCTCACTTAGAGAGAAAGCTATGTAGTGGAGAGTGGGAAATCCTTACCGAAGATCCACAATGGGGGACAGAGTAGGAAGGATGTAGCTTCAGTGGTTGTATTCATATCCGAAGATCCAGTTTGGGGGACAGAGTAGGATAGAATAATTGGGCTAGCAAATAAGTGCATCCATATATCCGAAGATCCAGTTTGGGGGACAGAGTAGGATAGGATGTAGCTGAGTAAAGTACCACTGCAAGTGTAGAACTAGCTAAGAGTTCAATATTCATACGATGATCCAGATGAGTGAGTTTACGATGATAATGGTATGTTTATTATATTATTGAGTAATTTAACTTATAAGATGGAAGTTTGGTTATTAATTTAATTTACCATGATGTTTTGTATTGCATTAGCTCACCCTTGCTTTGTCTGTTGTGTGGTTGTTCTTTTGTGTTATGTGTTTTGTCTGGCGATGATCATCCGGTGGATGGGAGCAGAAGTTGGTGATATGCCGGTGGAGCAAGCATTAGATGGAGGATCGACGGAAGCTTAGTTTGAAGAATGAGCCTTATAAATTGTCTATGTTTTAAGTGTGAATTGTATTTGGTTTGAAATTTGAGTATGGGTTTGTATAATAATGAGGAAAACTGTTATTCCTCCTCCTATCAACTGTTCTATTGTATCAATGATGTAAGAACTCTATTATAGTTTAATGCTATAATAATTGGGATGTTACATTTAGTCCCTACTCGAAACTTTGATTGCTTTTAGTCCTCATAGTTTTGAAAATATTACTATTAGTCCTTAAAATTGAACGACGTTAACTTTTGTTTGATGTGGCAAACGGCGAGGCCACGTCTTATGCCAACTTCCCTCTTCACTCTCTGCCACGTTGTTTTTCTTTTTATCTGGCCAATAAGAATCTGACACGTGTCAGCCCCCTTCCACCCCAAATTAGGGTTTGCCATATTGGGGAAACTTGCCCTTGCACCTGCACCACGATTTTGCTCTTCTATCTTACGCCGTCATGAGCCAAGAACGCGAGAAGGGAAGGGTTGCTCTCTTGCACGTGGCGAATGGAGTTTCTGCTGTGTTTTTGGATTTGCAGGTCTGTTGCAGGTGATGGCGCATCTCGATGGGAGGATGTCGCGACTTGCAAGGATTTTGCGCGTTGAAGGTGGCGTTGATGGAGGATGGCGTCGCTGTAGGGGAGCTTGAGAGATGAAGGCGCGACGGCGGAGAGGCTTAGGCGATTTATGGTTCGTCGCAGCACTCGTGATTTAGGATTTCGCTTGGTCGTGGTTCTCGATTGGTCGGAGTGAACTCGGTGTGCGTCTTCCGGCATGGTGTGATTTGCTATTGGGGTTGTTCGCATTTTCTGAATTTGTCTGAGTTTTAGGTGATTTTGGGAATGCCATGGATGCTCGCGTTTTTTGGAATGCCATGGAGCAGATGTTGACGGCGCGGAACAGTGGACGTTGACGGCCGTCTGCTTCGCCGAAATGGGGATGATAACCCCTGCTTTTGGGCTGCACCGAATCAGAGGAAGGGTAGACCAGTCCTCACGACTCTGACCGGTTGTCGAGGACGGCGTCGGCGGTGACCATCCTCGTTTGTGGCTCGCGGAGGCTAGGCTCTCACAGGCGGCGATTGGCGGAGGAACGAGAGAGCTTCCCTCTCGCGCGCGGAGAAAAGGCAAGGAGAGAGAAATCGACGTCGCGGCTGACAATGGCCCCGGTGGCGATTAGTGTCGCTGGCAACGCCTTGGACTGAGCGGTAGGTCCGACACGGCGGCTGGTCCGATGAAGGCTAGGGTGCGCGCGTGTAAGGTGAGGCAAACCCCTCCCAAGGGCTCCCTTGTTTGAAGAAAGGGCTCTGTTGTTTGGATTCTTTGCAGGTGAAGAATGAATATGCTTGCTTGATCTGCGGCTTGGGCTGTTGCGCGATTGGGGTGATGGTGCACGAGAAGCAAAATTGTGGTTGCTTTGCCGGAGAAGACGAACGAAGTTCTCAAGCACAAGCAATGTGGCAGAGAGTAAAGAGGCAAGCTGGCATAAGATGTGGTCTCGCCGTTTGCCACATCAAACAAAAGTTAACGTAGTTCAATTTTTAGGACTAATAGTAATAGTTTCAAAACTATGAGGACTAAAAGCAATCAAAGTTTCGAGTAGGATCTAAACCCAAAATTGTGTGATACTTAATGGACGAAAAACATATTTAACCCTTTATTTTATTTATAAAAATATTAATGATATGCAAATTATTTGGTTTTAGTCAACAAAAATATATTTTTAAATAAACTAATTCAAAATTAAAAAGGTATTATAAGAACTATAAAAAGGTATTTTATAAAATCTAATCCAAAACAAATACTTTTATCAAAGTAAAGTCATTTGTTACAAATACAAAAAATAAAGGTTTAATACCCAATTTTGTCCCCAGTTTGGTTCGGAAATCTCAATTTAGTCCCTCGTTAGAAAAGTAATTGTAATGGATCCTTACTTGTACATTTGTGAGTCAAGTTAATCCCTTCCGTTAAATATAAGCAAACAGAGTTAATAGGATGATGATGTGGCAGTAGTTAGTGGTTAGGTGTCAAAACTCAATAGTGTGCGTGCTTACGTGGTGTTGAATTAGAGAAGTTTGGGTTTTATTAGAAATTGGGTTTATTTTAATTGGGGATAAATTGGCAGCAGTTAGGGTTTTTAATTAATTTTGTGCAATTGAATAGATACAAAGTTAGGGTTGTAGTGGAATTGTAATATGATTTGAAATGGGAGGTTCAGGGATTTTGGGTTGGCCAAGCTTTACGAGCATGGTGCCAAGCCTAGCACCACACGTGTGGTGGGAACGATGGGGTACCTTGCACCTGAACTCACACGAACGGGGAAACCCACCACCAGTTCTGATGTTTACGCTTTCGGAGCGTTGTTGTTGGAGGTGGTGTGCGGGAGGAGGCCCATTGAGGTGAAGGCATTGCCGGAGGAGCTGGTGCTGGTGGACTGGGTCTGGGAGCGGTGGCGCATGGGGGCGCCGCTGGCGGTGGTGGACCCCAGGTTGGGTGGGGCGTTTGATGAGGTGGAAGTTTTGGTAGTGATTAAAGTGGGGTTGTACTGTTCCGCGGAGGCACCAGAGAAGAGGCCCAGCATGAGGCAGGTGGTGAGGTATTTGGAGAGGGAGGTGTAAAGGAAATCAGAATACTCTCATCTGTCAACTGAATTAAAGAGTAGATTTCATTGTGCGCCCAATTTTTGTTTCTAATTCTTAATAACACAACAATAAGGGATCAGAAATAAGAGTTTTTCAAATCAGAATAAAAAAATAACCGTAGTTTTCATTAGATGCATGCTTTATCGGGCCATGTAATTAACCAATCAAACAGATGAAGGCCTAAAACAATATATTAATACCACCCAACATGTTTGCATCATTTGGCTAAAAAAAATAGATAAACAATTGGTAAAATATAGCAACCAAAAACATTTTTTTTCACGGTTATCAAAATAGAGTAATCTATTAACCACAATCCAAATAAGGCCACTAACAAATCAAAACCCTCGTTTCCAATTCTGTAGGGCCACCTCCACCTCCAACTCATCCTCTTTCGTGGTCTCATACCTCGTCAACAACTGTGCCTTCTCCCAAGAAACCGCTCTCAAAGCTTCCTGCAATCTTCATTTTTCGAAACCCCAAAAGCCTGATTTTGTGCTCTCCTTCTTCCAAAACCACACATTCTTCAATTCTCATATATCTCATATCCTTGAAACCATCACGCTGGAAGCCACCCCAACCACGCANGATCCAGTTTGGGGGACAGAGTAGGATAGGATGTAGCTGAGTAAAGTACCACTGTAAGTGTAGAACTAGCTAAGAGTTCAATATTCATACGATTATCCAGATGAGTGAGTTTACGATGATAATGGTACGTTTATTATATTATTGAGTAATTTAACTTATAAGATGGAAGTTTGGTTAATTTACCATGATGTTTTGTATTGCATTAGCTCACCCTTGCTTTGTCTGTTGTGTGGTTGTTCTTTTGTGTTATGTGTTTTGTCTGGCGATGATCATCCGGTGGATGGGAGCAGAAGTTGGTGATATGCCGGTGGAGCAAGCATTAGATGGAGGATCGACGGAAGCTTAGTTTTAAGAATGAGCCTTATAAATTGTCTATGTTTTAAGTGTGAATTGTATTTGGTTTGAAATTTGAGTGTGGGTTTGTATAATAATGAGGAAAACTGTTATTCCTCCTCCTATCAACTGTTCTATTGTATCAATGATGTAAGAACTCTATTATAGTTTAATGCTATAATAATTGGGATGTTACATTTAGTCCCTACTCGAAACTTTGATTGCTTTTAGTCCTCATAGTTTTGAAAATATTACTATTAGTCCTTAAAATTGAACGACGTTAACTTTTGTTTGATGTGGCAAACGGCGAGGCCACGTCTTATGCCAACTTCCCTCTTCACTCTCTGCCACGTTGTTTTTCTTTTTATCTGGCCAATAAGAATCTGACACGTGTCAGCCCCCTTCCACCCCAAATTAGGGTTTGCCATATTGGGGAAACTTGCCCTTGCACCTGCACCACGATTTTGCTCTTCTATCTTACGCCGTCATGAGCCAAGAACGCGAGAAGGGAAGGGTTGCTCTCTTGCACGTGGCGAATGGAGTTTCTGCTGTGTTTTTGGATTTGCAGGTCTGTTGCAGGTGATGGCGCATCTCGATGGGAGGATGTCGCGACTTGCAAGGATTTTGCGCGTTGAAGGTGGCGTTGATGGAGGATGGCGTCGCTGTAGGGGAGCTTGAGAGATGAAGGCGCGACGGCGGAGAGGCTTAGGCGATTTATGGTTCGTCGCAGCACTCGTGATTTAGGATTTCGCTTGGTCGTGGTTCTCGATTGGTCGGAGTGAACTCGGTGTGCGTCTTCCGGCATGGTGTGATTTGCTATTGGGGTTGTTCGCATTTTCTGAATTTGTCTGAGTTTTAGGTGATTTTGGGAATGCCATGGATGCTCGCGTTTTTTGGAATGCCATGGAGCAGATGTTGACGGCGCGGAACAGTGGACGTTGACGGCCGTCTGCTTCGCCGAAATGGGGATGATAACCCCTGCTTTTGGGCTGCACCGAATCAGAGGAAGGGTAGACCAGTCCTCACGACTCTGACCGGTTGTCGAGGACGGCGTCGGCGGTGACCATCCTCGTTTGTGGCTCGCGGAGGCTAGGCTCTCACAGGCGGCGATTGGCGGAGGAACGAGAGAGCTTCCCTCTCGCGCGCGGAGAAAAGGCAAGGAGAGAGAAATCGACGTCGCGGCTGACAATGGCCCCGGTGGCGATTAGTGTCGCTGGCAACGCCTTGGACTGAGCGGTAGGTCCGACACGGCGGCTGGTCCGATGAAGGCTAGGGTGCGCGCGTGTAAGGTGAGGCAAACCCCTCCCAAGGGCTCCCTTGTTTGAAGAAAGGGCTCTGTTGTTTGGATTCTTTGCAGGTGAAGAATGAATATGCTTGCTTGATCTGCGGCTTGGGCTGTTGCGCGATTGGGGTGATGGTGCACGAGAAGCAAAATTGTGGTTGCTTTGCCGGAGAAGACGAACGAAGTTCTCAAGCACAAGCAATGTGGCAGAGAGTAAAGAGGCAAGCTGGCATAAGATGTGGTCTCGCCGTTTGCCACATCAAACAAAAGTTAACGTAGTTCAATTTTTAGGACTAATAGTAATAGTTTCAAAACTATGAGGACTAAAAGCAATCAAAGTTTCGAGTAGGATCTAAACCCAAAATTGTGTGATACTTAATGGACGAAAAACATATTTAACCCTTTATTTTATTTATAAAAATATTAATGATATGCAAATTATTTGGTTTTAGTCAACAAAAATATATTTTTAAATAAACTAATTCAAAATTAAAAAGGTATTATAAGAACTATAAAAAGGTATTTTATAAAATCTAATCCAAAACAAATACTTTTATCAAAGTAAAGTCATTTGTTACAAATACAAAAAATAAAGGTTTAATACCCAATTTTGTCCCCAGTTTGGTTCGGAAATCTCAATTTAGTCCCTCGTTAGAAAAGTAATTGTAATGGATCCTTACTTGTACATTTGTGAGTCAAGTTAATCCCTTCCGTTAAATATAAGCAAACAGAGTTAATAGGATGATGATGTGGCAGTAGTTAGTGGTTAGGTGTCAAAACTCAATAGTGTGCGTGCTTACGTGGTGTTGAATTAGAGAAGTTTGGGTTTTATTAGAAATTGGGTTTATTTTAATTGGGGATAAATTGGCAGCAGTTAGGGTTTTTAATTAATTTTGTGCAATTGAACAGAGACAAAGTTAGGGTTGTGGTGGAATTGTAATATGATGTTTTGAAATGGGAGGTTGGGGGATTTTGGGTTGGCCAAGCTTTACGAGCATGGTGCCAAGCCTAGCACCACACGTGTGGTGGGAACGATGGGGTACCTTGCACCTGAACTCACACGAACGGGGAAACCCACCACCAGTTCTGATGTTTACGCTTTCACAGCGTTGTTGTTGGAGGTGGTGTGCGGGAGGAGGCCCATTGAGGTGAAGGCATTGCCGGAGGAGCTGGTGCTGGTGGACTGGGTCTGGGAGCGGTGGCACATGGGGGCGCCGCTGGCGGTGGTGGACCACAGGTTGGGTGGGGAGTTTGATGAGGTGGAAGTTTTGGTAGTGATTAAAGTGGGGTTGTACTGTTCCGCGGAGGCACCAGAGAAGAGGCCCAGCATGAGGCAGGTGGTGAGGTATTTGGAGAGGGAGGTGGCGCGGCCTCCGCCGGTGGTTTACGGGAAAAAAAAAGATGGTGGCGGTGGCTACTACGAGGAGTTACATAATATGATGTTTTGAAATCAACGTGAAATCTGAATTAAAGCATCTGAAATTATGGTTTCAATTTACATTTTGTGTGATATTGTCTGAACCTCTGCTTCAATTGCACAAAATTAATTAAAAACCCTAACTGCTGCCAATTTATCCCCAATTAAAATAAATCCAATTTCTAATAAAACCCAAACTTCTCTAATTCAACACCACGTAAGCATGCACACAATTGCGTTTTGACACTTAACCATTAACTACTGCCACATCATCATCTCATTAACTCCGTTTGCTTATATTTAACGGAAGGGACTAACTTGACTCACAAATTTACAAGTAAGGATCCATTACAATTACTTTTCTAACGAAAGACTATATTGAGATTTCCAAACCAAACTGGAGACAAAATTGAGTATTAAATCAAAAATAAACTACCACTGTATTTCATAAATTAAAAATATATTTAAGTCAAAATTATTCCGGCAATAAAGTAAAATATTAATTTTATTTTGTAATGAAATTATTCAAAGTAACATAATGATAATGTAGACACTATTCTAAAGATTTGGGAAAAACAACCTCAGTGTATAGTTGTTGTTTTTCTTACCTCAGCTGTTGATCTTTCACAAAAGAACCTAACACTAACAAGTTCGTCTCTTTGACCTTCCAACTCTTTCTTAGGGCAATAAAAGTATTTTTAATTTTTCTATTTTAATTCAAACTATTCTTCCCTTTCTGCAAATTGTTCTGGTTTTGGCATTACCACCATCAGCATTCCCCTTGACCTAAGCCACCTTTGTGAATCAGTGAAAGACCAATTGATGTTCAATTGAAATCAAGATGAGTTTTGTGCCAAAGGAGACAATCGAAGTCATCGCACAGAGCATCGGCATCACCAATTTGTCCCCCGATGTTGCCCTCGCTCTCGCCCCCGATCTCGAATATCGCATTCGTGAAATCATGCAGGTATCATTTGCAATGTTCTCGTACCCTCTTGCGCAATTTTTGAATTTTCGCGGGTAATTTGAGACCCCTTTGTTGGTTTCGTCGCGCCGCGATGACCCGGTTCGTCTCAGGTGCTAACGGTGAAGCCCACTTTCTAAATCACGTTAAAAGTTTTATCTTTGAGGGAAATTAATGAAGTTCCCTTATTTGGTTCTTGAGTTTTTATAAAAGGGGTGTAGCGGTTGTTTGGATTTTGATATTGTTGTTCCTTTTTTTTGTTGTTACCATTACTGCTACTACTTTGAATGTGGCTAATTGAAGCATGGGTTGTTTGTTTTGAATTGGACAGGAGTCGATAAAATGCATGCGCCATTCGATGAGAACTTTTCTTAGTACAGAGGATGTGGATA